TAAACCTTTTTGGGTCAGACTGGTGTCCAGAAGCAAGGCAATGCAAATCTGACACACTCTTGCCCACACTGCTTAGTGCACAGACTGCCACATTCACCAGAGTTACCGACCAAGCACCAAAACCCAGMCAGTCACTGGAAATGCTGCCCCAGCAAAAGTGGTGTGACAGGCTTCTCTCCAGCCTCTCCCAAGAAAGGGTCCCTTTTCCCCATCCCTTTCTCCATTCTTTGTCAGTATGCAGCTTGTTCACTTAATGGTCCATTAGCTAATCTACATCCACATTGAAATTCAATCTTGTCTCATAATAGCATTAAAAAATTAAACAACAACTTTGCTTCCTTGGAAATGACAGTCTCCACCTCCATTTTCTCATCCCTTCACTGTTTTCCCTGGAGCTGGAGATTTCCCCTTCCATTTATTCTTGGTTTTGTGTCCTGAAAGAAATGCATAATCTCACGGCATTYAGAGTCAAACAATAGTGGGACAAACAAGCTATACATGCATAACAGCGCAGCTGTCTCCCAAGCAACACTGTGGTCATTCCCATAACTTCTTCCTGGCCCAAAGGACATTTTATTGGTTGAAATGAAGGATGATAAAGATTCTCTTTGAAATGTCTTGTCACACAGAAAGAACACACTGAAATGGTGAAAATGGTTGACAACCAATCAAACCCTGTGCTGGGACRGGCACATGATGAATAATTCACCTCTCTTTTAGGCAGGGACACAGACAGCAGCCACTTGTGCTARTCTTAGTGATTTACAAAACAAATTTCCCACACAGGAAGCCAGTAGGTCTCTTTGGAGGCAGAAGTGACATCCCACTGTTACTGGGAAAAATCATCTGCCATTCTTTCAAAGATACCGAATTAAGAGTGTTCAATAGAAGGCAGGATTTAGAGAAAGTTTCTCAGGTTCATGGCAGTAATTTCTTTTTTCAGCATTTTCCAGGCAATATGTGGCTCTCYAGTCTGTGCCTAAATGTCATTTCTTACTGCTGTAACACTGACAACATGGAATTAAGCATTATTGTACCCAAAGAGCCTGCTTTTATTCTATATTAGCACCAACCATTATTATATTGCTCTCTTAGCCCTCCATAGTCAAAATCTCCATAGCATGCAGCTAAAAGGGATGGCAGACCTGCTTATAACTCAGAGACAGAAGCCTGTCCCAAATATTCTACCACTTGCAAAGGCTGTTTTCTCTCAGCCCAGCACCAAGGCCTCTGTCAGTCTGTGGTACCAGGTCACACTCTGACCATGTAACAGAGTAAGGTCTGGAGTTGGAATTTATCACAGCTGACTGAAGGTGCTGGCCTCAGCAGCTATGGCTGATCCTGCTCCACCCTGTGCCTTCCCCTGAAATCTCAGACACCAGACATGAAGATCCCCCTGCACTCATTAATCACAGCTGATGCTAAGAGCAAGGTGGACACACCMAGGACATCACAGCAGAGCTGGAATCCAGCACTGCACTTTGCTCCAGCCCCATAAAGCCTCTACTCCATTTTCCCATATCTCTATCCAGCCCAGAGGGGAGACAGGCAGARCTCCTGTTCTTTGACATAGGACTTAATCTAAACTAAGGAAGGTGTGTGCCTTATGGGATGGGTTTGAAGGTTTCTGTTAACAGCACCTGTACCTATGTGCATTTACAGGAGAGATTTCAGCCCCTCTGCATAGGAAATAATCTTGCTCCAAAGTACAAACAAACTCATCAGTGTAAAACTCATGGAGGCACCAATGCCATTTAGTGCCTTCCCCATTAGAYCATACTTATTTTCTTGCAATATCCTGACCAAAAACGACTTAAAGAGTGTGTTCTTCTGTTTTCAAATTTACTCTTTTTTTAATATTGTTCTATGTAGGAACTTCACCACTAGCAAGAATCACTGTATTTGAAGGATAATGGGATATGAAGTGTCATCTCTTTGCCCTCAGCTGATCTCAGSTGAGCAGTGATTAAGCAGCATCAGCTGTTGATCATTCTCTACTATACATAACAGGTGTTCTTGATAACCTCACAATTAAACAGATTATAGGGATCTTCATTTCAAACAATGGCAATTACTGACTGATTCCTGCTGCWGCCTGTATCAACAAAAAATACAAGAACGGAGTGAGGTAAGGAGACAGGCAGACTCTCATCTAGAATGATGGTTATCATAAAAAAATATTTAAACCACTGCCTGTTCCACCTGACCAGAAGATTCCACCTTATTTTAGCAGCATTCACCAATGAAAATGGTCAAGGGGGAAGAGATTCCCTCTGGACCCAAGAAGGAAACATGATGGTTATTAGCAGAGTTCATCAGAAGCACAAGGATCCTATCAGCTGAGACCCAGAAGAAAGGGTTTCATGTGCAAACTGTTTTGAGGGAATGAGGCAATGTAAGAACAGCAGAACTCCAATAGACATGGAAACAACAGCAGTACCAGGGGTAGTATCCCACTAAAGCTAAAAAAGGTGGCTTAAAATAAAGTATCAAAACTGCCAGTGATAGCCCAAACCAGACACTTACAGTTTTGGGTTTTTTTCACAGCAAAAAAAAAATAAAAATGGGGACATTTTCTTTTAGATTAATTTAGAATACAGTTAAAAATTGCTTTTGTCTGATATGCAAGGGCAACATGATATTTTAACTCTTCAGTGTGATTTACTATTTATGTAAGAATATTACACTTCAAAGCATATTCTCTAATTCTACATTTTAAAATATCTGAAACTAAGGAAGGCTTCAGTATCTCAAAATGSCTGCTCTCCTGGTCACCTCTTATCTATGTAGGAGAATTCTTTGCCCACAGAGAGCCTCACAAGGAAGCAGGGGCTACTGGTCCAGCTTACCTCATAACTCGCACTGTGTGCTAAGCAAAGCTTCCACACCACTTCAGTCACTTCTCCTCCAGTGACCTCCCTCTTGGTTTCCTCCCTTTCAAAGAGAATGCTGGTCACGTAAAGATCCTCAGAGTGCACTGGAGAAAGGAACATAAAGGAAAAATCAGATCTCTGGTGGTTGCTGGCCATTTACTATGGTTAACTCTATATGSAATGGAAAACTTTCTCTCTGAAATTTTATTTCTCTTGTAAGGGTCTCTCTAGTCTCAGTGAAGACAAGAGATGAATATGAATGCCTGCAGGCAGCTTGAATTAAAGAACAAAACAGAATAAAGATCTAAACATACCAGTGTGACCTGAAAGAAAGACTCACAGAAACAAGACAAAGATACACATGAAGAATGCCCTATTCCATATCCATGTGTCCAAACTTACTTTACTTTAGCAGAAACATAGTTACCTTTATTGTAGAGTGTCTCTGTTTCCACTTGCAAGAGTTTGAGTGCAGACTGTGTCCGTGTCTCTGCCCCACTGCCCTTGTGAGGGAACAGCATCACACGGTTGGACTCGGTACATTTGGCCTCCTCCAGGACTCCATCCTYAATGCTCTGAACACATTCCAGCTGCGAGGACAGGATCTGCTGTTCAGACTGAGAAGAACAGATACTTCAGGAAAATTCTTGATGACCTGCATCAGCCTGCCCAATCCTTTCTCTCCCAGCTTCACAGAGGATTCCAGTTCAGGGGCAGTGGGAAGTCTCTTGTCTACACCTCTGACACTGCCTAGCCTGTGGAAGTTAATGCACTCCTTATTTCTRGCCTAGTTTTTCATCACTGAAAAACAACTGCTACTAACTGTCAGCATCAAATGGTGTTTAAATAAGTCAAAAGGCCCTGTGGAAGAGTCAGCRTCATTCCCCAAAACTTACCGACACATGAGGAAGAACAACAGACTGCACAGAAGTCAAACCAGAGGAGCGATGCGAGCAGAGGTTTAAGTCCTTTGTCTTTACAAGGATGGGACCCTTTCGCTGGTACCTGGTTGGGCATATTCCCAGAACATCCACCTAGTAACAAACACACACTGTCGAATCACACATGCACACATACAATATARGGAGGTAGTGTGGGTTACTGCAATTATTTTTAATATTTACTTTTTCTGTAATAACAACAGACACCTAAATTCTTCCTTGCAGAATACTGGCTTTGCCACAAAAGCCATGAAAAGGCAAGTAATTTTAAAGACCTTKGTCAAACTTCATAGTAGCCAGAGACTGTTTAATTTCATTGTGTTATTCTGAATCAGATAATTTACAGACATTTGCTTTTTCATTTAGGATTTTGGGGGCATGCAGGGAAGCATTAATTCAGAAGMGCATTACTAGGCATAGTAAGTCGAATTACATGTGGCTTGGGTGTCCCAAGGCTTACTGCAGAACATCTCTTTAAGCACTGACATGCAGCAGTAGCCTGAGAATGAGGCAGTGCATACATAACATGCTGAAGGTCATTCTAGAGACAGCTCTGCACAAGAGAACTGCAGCCTATGACCTGTGTCAGCTGCACTCATGCAAACACACAGGTGACAGCAGGGTACACCAGTCTATTGTTACACAGTTACGCAGCAGAACCTGGGCTTAAGCATTAAAATAACTGCAAAGGCTCTGAGAAGCCTGATCTGAAAGCCTCCTGAAATTAATGAAAAAATGTAACAAGAAATAACTATGAATAATGAACATGGTATTTATCCCAGTGAAGATGTAAAGCCTTGGTGTTGCAACTCAGGTAACCAAGCAGTGGATTCCAAGCCCCAAAAGAATGAGAATTACAGCTAATTTTAGCATTCACTACAAATGACTGCCACCAGATGACTGCCACCATCTGCTGAACCAAGTGGCAAAAACCTTTATTTTTAATAAAGATTAAAATAGATTTAATATGTACAAGAGCTAAGGGTCACCTCAGAGCTTGACTGACTGTCTCACCTCCTCAATGACAGAACCAGCAGTGGATTCCTGTGCTGTCTGMAGGACACTGAGAATGCCTCGCTTGATGTTCAATGCCCACGTCTGTTCACTCCTCACAGGACAGAGTTTCAGAACTTTCCCATCATGGAAAGAAAAATGAAGAGGATTCTGTTCTAGTATTCCCCTGCAATGAAACAGTTTATCATTTCTTGCTTCAAACAGTACAAGTCACTTTATGATATTAGACTCAGATTTTCCTCAGAAGAGCTGCTCCTGCACAATGGATCTGTCTCATTCTGTATCTCCATTCTTTATAGCAAGCCTCTATTCTTGATAAATTCATCCTGACCCAAGAAGTCCTTAAAAAACCCTGTAAARCCCTAAAAACAAATCCTCTCAAGATCATCACAGCATTCTCCACATAACTGTAACACTTAATAAAGCAGTTATTTAAATTAATTTGCAGTCCCGGCAAATTAATTACAAGTAAATGTACTTCATGGCAATGATTCTTGTTTAATTAAGAGAGAAATTCCATTTTATGATTCAAGGTACCTTAAGTATTGCTAGGCACGTCTGAATTGCAAAGTAACTGCATCATGCCTCTTTAGCTGTGATGCACACAAAAACAAYTGCTTTCCATTGCAATTAACCCATATTTTCCTGCTCTGTTAAGTGTGCATACTTGGGCTCTGTGCCAAACTTATTCTCCCATCTCTGCTGTCAGTACACTTCCTAATTGTTTTTTCTATCCCAGACTGAGATTTCTGATCCCATACGTGATTTCTGTCTTTGCAAGAGATCACGTTTTAACATTGATTTTTCACTCCTAATAGAACATACTTAAATCATAGGTTTTCCCTCTAAACGGCAAGAAATCGACCATCCAAAGGAAGAATTCTATAGTAGCCCAGTGGTCAGCTCCCATACAGGCAGTTACACAGTTCATCTGCACATTAACTGGGCAGCTAACTGCTCATCTAATCAATCAGGTCAGAAAGCAAGAGATAAAATTGTAATACATCAACATATGGATAAAGTCTTTCCAGAAGAGACTGGGCATGCAGGATAAGAATTTCTGAACTCCTAGGCAACTGGTCCTGCTTTTGCTACTATCTGTGGAAATTACATGCATGTTCAGGGGACAAGCTAGACTACTGTATGTTCACAATAGGCTGAGGCAAATGCTAATAAGGTTCACTTGTCTGAATAATTATTTTGAATAGCCAAGCTTCATTCAATGCTTTCTTTGCTACCTCTTTTTTTTTCTTTTATTTTTTTGGCTTCTCTGCAAAGAACAATACATAACTGCTCTTACTGCTACGAAAATCCTGCAAATAACTGCACAGAAGATGTGCCTGTACACTCCTGTGAACTCTGATATCACTGCCCGTAGAGAAAACACAAAGTTCTTCCTGATGAATACAAAAAGCAATGCATTTACTCCAAGCTTGCTCTTTTTGACCCTTTGAATTGAGTCAATTATCTCAGCTCTCAGTGCTGTTTAAAGGCTGAGAATCCAAGTGGCAGGACAAAGAGGAAGATTACAAGGCTGAGCTTAATCAGACAACAGAACTGCTTTTTTTCGATGACACAAGAAGCATCAGCTCTCTGGGAAAATGCCAGACCTCCACAGYTTGAGGAGATCTTATTGTATTGTCATCTGCACTGGAGACTATACCTTGGCAAGTCAGTGAGAAACATACTGACATATGTTATGAGTGAGCTCCTAAACCCAAAAATATTAAAGAAAGAAATTTCATTGGACAAGTAAATGCAGTTTAAATCCTGGAAGAAAAAACCACAATGTTCTGCCTTATGGGAATCTTTCAAACCAAGTGCTTGTGAAATGTACTGCAAAACTCAAATCTGTACACGTAACACCTGCAGTTCTGAAAGCTGTGATCCATACCGGCTACGAGGGGATTGGTGATTTGTACCCAGATTAATTTGAACTGTCTACTCTACAAACGGTTTTACATACAAAGGGATGAAAATGACGTTGAAGAAAAACCTGTTTGGACCAAATGGCTCTCATTTTGCTTATGGTGCTCATATCTGGATCCTCGCTTTAAAAAAACAAAACAAAAAAAAAACCACAAAAGAAACCCAAAAACTAAACAGAGTATAAGACAGAGTGAGCAATGTCCGGTCAGGCTGCTCCTAAGCCATATGGTTTAAAAAAAAACAAAACAAAAACTAGACCAGATTAGGTGTTTTTCTACCTTAAGCTGTCCATATCCTTCAGAKACTCCTCTCTGGATGCAAAACTTTTCTTAATCTGTACATCTTGCACCTAGGAGCAAAGATTACAGACAATATACTTCATTGTCAAGAGAAATTTGTGGACTTTCTCACATCACATTCTACACAGAATGTCACAAAATACAAACAAAAGCTTGGTGTTGGAACAGAAATGAATTAGCTCCCTCTTTGAGTGGCACATCCAAGGCAGTTTCCAGAAATTTCTTCTAAAACAAGTTTCACTATTAAACACATTTTACACAGCTCTATTATATCCCTTTCACTGTCAAACCACTGACCAGTTGATTTTTATCCATTTTTAGGGATATGATAGGACAAGTGAACAGGGATAACTATCCCATTCTTTGTTGGCCTCAAGTATATGTGTATTTTTAGTGCCCACAAGTCAAACCCCTCAGTAAAACCGATGGGTTTAACCCCTCTGTTAAGCTGAAGAAAACCCAAGCAGCTGAAAAGTTTATTTGCCCTGCTGCCCTGTAGTTCTAAAGCACTGTAGTTGTCCACCTGGCCTACCACAGGGCTCACCCCAGGAGAAGCTCTGCAATTTGAAACTGCTCTGTTGCTCTTGTCACTGAGAGACAGATCTCCTGCCGACATAGGGACATGAACAGTGTCACAAGACTGAATTTTACACTGGGCTAGGAATGGCAGCAATCCAGCACATCAGGCAAGTTTCTCAAGTTCTCTTTAAAATGCTTGTTATTTTAAAATTACTGCTACAGATATGAAAGTGCCTTAAAATAAACCAACTTCCTTTCAAGGGATTGACTTTATCTCCAGTTCTGCACTTCATGTGACAAAACAGTGGAACTGTTTTGCCACTTAGAAAAGAAAACAATTATTAGCTTAATCTGCCTTTTAAAACTGGCAAATACTTAATTTCAAATTGTAGTGCATCAAATCAATACTGCAGYTCTATTTATTAGATTCAGAATTGAACTGGATTTAATTACAAGAAAAACAAATGCTTGAAATTTAGCAATAATCCCAAATTAAAATACAACTCCACATCAGCTCATCCCAATCACTCATGCAATTATGACAATACTTACTTTCAAAACCATCTGGCAATTCCCCAACACCTCAATGATCACTGTGCTCTCCAGAGAAATGCCACTGCTTTTGTAAGTATTTCCCTGCAGGAATGTGTTGGTGACAGCTGAATACCTGTAGCTGTATCTAGCTCTTTTGGGGAAGTACGATGCACTGAGTCCTAGGAAACAAAAAAAAAAATTTAAAAAATGGAGGGGACAGGGGATGTTAGGCTGTTAAGCTTCCCTTTCTCTCCTTTTTCCCTATTTTTTAATCTTTCAGCCACTGAAATCAGCTACGCAAAGGGCTGAGTATTCAGTTTGTTCCCTTCCCACTTGAACTTACAATTGAAGGAGCTGGGTTTCTGAAAGCACCCTGCACACTGGCCATAGTTCCCATAGGGAAGCTCCCCTCTCTCCTAAGCACACAACCTCACAATTTCCTTCAAGGCACAAAGTGACTTTACAAGGGCATGTACATTTACAAAAGGGAGGTAATGCATTTACAGCATGATGCTCTTTTGGCACTGTTCAGAGAGAAGAAAAACAGGACCTTCACAATAGCAAGATGAAACAGATCTGCTCTTCATGCCCATGGCTGGGCTTAGTCCTGCACTGGTTTAGTCCTTTATTCAGCTTTAATATTTAGGAGTTTTTCAGAGTTCACAGAAYGCAAACTTCAGGCAGGTGGRGCCCTGGCAAACGTTAGTGGGATTTCTCTGCTACTTCCAYGAATGCTGATCACTCACACATAAGTATCATTCTTCTCAGAACACAACATCCCCACAGAAGGGAGGGAAGTTTTCAAATTCCTTTTTCCTTATCATATAAAAAACCTGAATACAATCTTGTTTTACTCACCTGCACAGTCTGCAAAACAGGAAGCTCCATAACTTAAACTCTCTGAGGATCCTGCAGTGACAGGTAACAGAACAAAACAGCACTGAAAATTTGYGTGGCTCAGCATGGACCTGCTGCTTCTAAATTTCAGTGAAAAAACTGAAATCAAAGTATGGTCCTCAAAACAAATAAATAAATCCATGAGAGTTTTTCTACCAAGTATACAGGGACAACACTTTGCTCTTGCCCCTTCCACATGTCTGTATCTATGGAAAATTCATGTTATGGCGCATCAGAAGRCATATGTGGTACCTTGAATGCTGCGCTCAGAACTGTTAGACATGTTTATCACAGACTGATAGTGTGGTAGACTGAGCAGCCTGGACAATCAGGCACTCGGTTAACTTTGTTAGGATGCCTAAATTTAGAGTTTCTGCTCTTTGCTTTGTTCTTTTTAAATTTTAAATTTTCTTCCATCATTTATTTTGGTTCTGGAAACAGCATGCACTTATGTCTCTTCAGCTGACAAGATAACAAAGGACTACACTATTGACAGTCCATGATCTATTCACACTTTTCAGAATCCTTCATCTGCCAAGTACCAAATTGAGCACAATTGTAGAATATGATACTAACATATTATTTTCAGGTAGAATAACTCTTTGACTGACACAATCTCATTGTTTCTCTTGCTTTCCCTAAAATGCTGAAGGAAGATACACTATTTAACTGCATCCTCTCCAGGTAGGATGCTCTCCCACCTGCCCAGTACTACCCAGAGAGTTCAGTAAAGCAAACTGCGATAATACACTGAAAATCCAGACAAAGCTGCTATAAGAATTACTACAAACTCACAAGCTGTAACATAATTCACAACATGTCTGAAGTTTAGCAAGTGAGAACATTCCTTAGTAGAAGCTTTCTGTATTGAGAGATCAGTCTTAGTAGAGGAAAAAGTTTCTTCTACTTACTCCCTGAAGATCCTGCCACAACAGCACAGAGTAAAACGATGGCGGGCAACCCCATGACCATCGAAATCACCTCCTCAGCCCAGAAGTKAACAAAAACACATCAGTTCTGCTCTCAAAGGCACCTCTGAGCAAGGCACTGAAAGAAAATTTCCTTCACAAAGCGGGAGCTCACTATTTCAACTGCCCTCTTGCAGGCAGAGGAGGGGCTTCRGCAGGGCAGCCTGCAGAGGGGAGGGGAGGTTGTAGTAAGGGGGAGACACAGACACACATAACCACTGATCCCATTTCCAACTGCATTTCAGCCTTTTTGCAAAAGAAGAGGGAGAAGTTAACCAGTTAGAAATCCCACAAAACAGCAAGGAAAAGAAATTAAGTATATGGCATCACAACAGAGCAAATGCTCAGAACAATCCCATGCAGTGAGTTTTCAATAAATAAATAAATAAATAAATAAATAAATAAAAGTCACCCTAGTGACCATTCCTTGATGATTAATCAACCAAAAATCACATAGGATAAAAGTCAAAGCTTTGGGACTAAAGGGAAGGTGTTCCCATTGGGAGCAAACAAGTTCATGGGAGGCAGCTCATCCCAACAACCAAAGTSCCAAACCTCAAATGGATGAAATAGTGTGTGAATAATAGACAAAACCACAAAACCTTCTGGTACCAATCAAGTTTGTACAACACATCAGACACAAGCCTTCTGGAGTTCACCAAACTTACTGACCCCTCTTTCAGGCCCAGGACTCTTCCCACACTTCCCATGCAGTCTATGCCCCTGTTCAATCTTCACACGTAATGGGATCATCACTCATAGCATGGAGCCATGGCCAAAACTGAGCTGCGTTTGCATAAAAACGCCTCCTGAGGGAAGCTGTGGTGGACAGGCAAAGTTTTGTTTCCTCCTACGGCCAGCCCTCTTGTTTAGCCTGAGCTAGTTTGCTTCAAACCAGAGTCACAAGTAGAAATCTTAGCTAAAGATCCCAGTCATTAGTACTGCTCTCCCCCACGAAATTTGTGCTGCTCTTGCCTCTTTCCTAAACTTCCTTGCTCCATCACATAACATTATGCATGAAATGGTTACAAATGTTAAAAGGGAAAGCAACTTCTCACATGTGCTTTGCAAATATCGATGACTAAAGAAAGTGGGAGAGAACAWTTCCAGTCTAAAGAGTTAATAGAATACTCCACAGTGTAAGCTGGGTCCCTGTATCAAAATCCCTGACCTAGCAAAAGCCAAACTCAAGAGTCAGTTCAGGTTTGAAAGTGAATTTAAAAAAACCAAAACCCAAATATTTCATACAGCAGCTCAGATTTGCTAGAATCAAATCAAAGCAGTAATGGAGAAAGCCTTCTTCCTTCACAGTGATCTTTCAGAACAGTCTAATTTTGAAACTGCTTCAGAGATTTCATTGTGGAAAATGACTCACTGAGCTTGCCATTTTTACTCTGCTGAGCTACTCAGTCTGGTACTCGTTCTAATTTTCATTTAAGACTACAGCTCATMTGGGTATAGTATGTACTCCATGTAAGTCCTCATTTAGCTCTTGGTGTGCTATCAGCAATATGGATAGAAGCAGGAGAGTTAATAGCTGGGCATGAACATAAAAACATGACAAATTTGCCAGAAAATTGCTATATTGTGACAATTGAATTACTACTACTGACCAGTTTCCACAGCAGTCTTGTAACTGTTTATATAATAAGATTTTCCAATATAGTTCACATAGCTATTGCCAAAGAAACCTTAAAAGCATTAAAACTTACACCAAAGTCAGTAGGAACATCAACACTGAAATCAGAGAGAATTTCTGCTTTATCATGACACTGGTTCAAGCCCACCAGAGTCTAACTTACACTTTCTAAAATAATCAAATTTGCATTTAAATCTCAAGTTTTAGTTTTTGTGATCCCATCTCTTAGGAAAGAAACTACATTAATAAAAAGGAAGAAAAGTATCTTATTGTAGCTGTATGAGCACACCCAAGAATTTGTAAATCTGAGCTTGCTTGAATCTCGATGATTTCATAGACCCAAGAAGAAAGAAATTCACATCTAAAATCGAGGGCATTTTTTGCTGAAGAAATTTCAAACATCTATTTTCAATGTAGCACAGATTTGGGGTACTTTTTATTGAAACTTCTAAATTAGGAATTAAATGCTTGAATAGCAGTTAGGTCTTAAATGCACATTGAAGCCAAATCAATGTGCCATAATTGTCCTGTGCACTTGAATAACTTCCCTCATGTTGGCAAGTGCAGGATAGAACCCAAGATTCAACATCTTGTAAGCTTTTTTCCCTACCTCACATGAGCTTTTTCTAAAAAAATCAAAACACCATCCCAAAAGAGGTAGAAAAAGAACCTCTCAAAAAGAAATTTCCACCACATTGCTATCCTAGATAATCTTAAAATAGTGAAGAAAATCTGGCATGTTCWGCAAACACAGTGGTTTAATGACACACAGGAGACCCACAATGGCTGTAAGTCTCAGAAAAGTATTCATCCATTTTAATGGATACTGTACTCAAGTTTGAAAAATGAATTTAGTAGAAATTACCATCTGTCACACAACCGGGGAAGCCTGACAGTGGACACCTGAGAACTGTTCACCAGTATTGCCCAGAAAGCCTGAGCATTAACAAACTACGAAGTCTGCTTTGTAGAGGCCCCACAAATAATATTAAGTTACTCTTATTGTAACACTGAAATTTAGCCCCAATAGCCGAAGGTAATGGCCGGSTCTCCACACCCACCTGTGCACCCGCCGCCCCTCCGCTTCCCTGGGCTCGGAGCCATCCCCTGTCCGGGACCTGCGCCCGGTTACGGACCCGAA